AGAGACTGATTGTGTTTTGAAGGATCTGATCCAATCTTGAAGGGCTATACAGATGCTAATATGCCAGGTGACCTCGATAACAGAAAATCCATTACTGGATATTTGTTTACATTTTCAGGAGGAGCTATATCATGGCAGTCAAAGTTGCAGAAATGTGTCGCACTCTCTACAACTGAGGCAGAGTATATTGCAGCTACTGAAGCTGGCAAAGAGATGGTATGGCTGAAACGATTTCTTCAAGAACTTGGATTGCATCAGAAGGAGTATGTCATCTATTGTGACAGTCAAAGTGCAATAGACTTGAGCAAGAACACCATGTACTATGCAAGGACAAAGCATATCGACGTGAGATATCACTAGATTAGATAGAGGACGAATCTATGCAAGTCATGAAGATCCCTACTAGTGAAAATCCTTCGGATATACTGACCAAGGTGGTATCAAGAGACAAGTTCGAACTATGCAAAGAACTTGTCGGCATGCACTCAAGCTAGAAACTTAGAGCTACCTCCTTCAGGTGAATGGGTTTGGAGAGGGAGATTGTGGAGTCCATCCCCATGTGCCAAACTTTGATAAATCTCACAATGTCAAAGGGTCGGAAGATTTGAAAGATATTGGATATACATGTGTTGATCATTTTTTTTCCAGCTTTTCTCAAAAGTCAAATGTTGGTAAGCTGTGAAGAAGAAATAAATTGTGAGGCTGCTCCATTTGTTATCTATAAAATGGAGGGTCATTCTTCATTCTCAAATGCACCAAAAACAAAGGAGAGAAAAGAAGAGTGAGACATCACAGAGGAAAAATAGAGAGTGTGAGTGATATGTAGTGAGGTGGGAAAATCAAAAGAGGGTTATTTCTTTTGAGTGTATAGTGGTCTTTGAAGTTTTTACTCAGACCTACAAGTGTAAAAATCCTTACTATAGTGATATCAGTTGCTCCTCTCGGGCCGTGGTTTTTCCCTTATTCATGAGGGTTTCCATGTAAAATCTTGGTGTCATTATTGTTCTTTTTATTCTTGTTGATTAACCGTATTGTTGTGTTCCGCTTTTATTGCTTTTATTATCGCAAATATTATTTTTGTTGCGGGTTTATTCCCAACAGTGTTTTTCCTCACCCATATTGCAAAATGGACAATTTGTGTCCTTTATAATACCTCATTTATGTAATTTATCCTTGGTTGCCAGTCTTTCCATAATTGCCAGCCTCAATATAAATGTCCATTTAAGACAACCCTTGTTATTGCACCAGTGGCGGACCCAGGATTTTCACGAAGTGGGTTCAAGACATAAAAAATAAATAAGCAAAAATGCAAACAAAACAAATTTTGATTAATTAAAATATATCATTACAATTCTATTCTACGAGTTTTCATTTCTTGAAACCTATTCATAATACTCTCATCAGAAATAGTATTAAATATTCTTTTCTCTACATAAGGCACCATACAACTACTCAGAAAATCACCATCCATTCGATTTCGCAATTCACTCTTGATCAACTTCATTGCCGAGAAAGCTCTTTCAACTGTAGCAGTAGCAACCGGCAGGAGCAACGCAAATTTTATAAGGCGAAACACAAGAGGATAATTTAAATGCTTCTTTACCTTAACTAGCATTTCAGAAAGATCACCAAGCCATTTTAAGTTGGAGAACCTTTTATCAACATCACGGACATCAACTATATAAGTCTCTAGCTGATTCCTAAGAGTAACCATTACATTTTCACCAAAATCATCAGGATATAATTCAGTCATTCTCAATATGTTCTTGATGTCAAAACTAGAAAATGAGTCAACAGGATTTAAGCAAGCAACTCCAATAAGCAAATCTGTTCTAACCTCATTAAAACGATCATTGTGGCAATCTACCCCTTGTTTCAATCTTTTAGCGGAATGATGAGTTTCTTCTAATTGGTTCAAGTTTTCTTCCACCCGAGGAGCATTTTGAGCAGATGAACTTGATTGTGGCAACTTGGAGGATATAGGAAAGAAAAATCTCTTCATTTGATATTCAACTTGTATTACCAAATTAAAATTCTAATTAGAAAGTAACTAAACAAAGCATTGTTAAATAAATGGAATTTCAATTAAATGATCTTGCAATTTGCATTGCTTAACTTTAATAAATTGCCATAGCATCTTATTAACTTGACATTACTATGTCGAAAGCATTCTCCTCAAGTTAGATCAATAAAACAAAAGACTACAATTTAGACAATGCCCTTTTATGAGGCTAACATCATACATATCTAACTATACTAAACAATGTTAATACATTCGAAAAAAAATTACATTGACTTATGAATGAGACGGTAAATAACAAGATGGATGAAAAACTAGGCTTCAATATAAACTAAGAAGATAAAAGAATATTATGAATGATTTCTCCTCATTCAACATTTAACAAATAAAAACAAAATATTAAACAAAATAATTATAACCTTAATTTCAGAATCGAATACATAGAAATATACCTAATACTATTTGTAATTTTTTGTTGATTTTAGAATGATAAGGGATTTTTTAGTTGAAGAAATAAAAAATAACCACAATAATCATATATGTATATATAAAGACTAGAATCAAGAGCAAAAAACATACTTGTGCGAGATTTGAGAGACGAGGAGAGTTTTTTTCCTTCAACAAAAAAATATAGTACTCAAAATTTTGGGGGGAAAAGTAAGAGAGGTTCAAGAAGATTTCAACAAAGAAGAAGATAAAAGAGTTTTTAGAATTGAGAATAATAGGGATTAGTGCCTTTTTTGTTTTTAGTTTTTTTTTTTTTATTGAGAATAATAGGGATTAGTGCCTTTTTTGTTGAGTTTTTTTTAAAAAAAAAAAAAAACTAAAAACAAAAAGGACAAAAGTTGTTGACTATTGGACTTTTAAATGTAAAAGTAAAAAGTTGTTCTACTTTTTATAGTTTCTAAATAACTAAAAGGACAAAAGTTACACCTATATAGAGGACAAAACGTGTGTGAAAGTTTATATATAAAAAAAAACGAATTAAAACTAAAATGTGGCTATAGGGATTCGATCCCGGGTTGGCTGGGAAAATTGAACCCCCTCAACCACTCAGCTAAGCTTCAGACTTGTGTTAGTGGGTTCAAAATTTAATATATACATATAAATTTTAAAAACTGATTAAATATACATATATATACAGTGTTATTTTTCAATGAAGTGGGTTCATATGAACCCACTTGAACCACTGTAGGTCCGCCCCTGTATTGCACACTTGCTTCCTCCATGTCACCTTTGGGAATGCCCCTTGGAATGTTTTGTACATGTTCTGTATAGAGAATGATTCAGCTTGTTGAAACTCGTTAACACATACTCCAACCCTTATCAGGTAGTGTTTAGCTGTGCGGATCTTCTGTATTACCCATCAAGCCGTTTTCGGTTGTGTTTCCCACACTGATTGCTTCTTTATATAGTAGGAATGTTTTCTGTAATACATATTACATATAACAATTTATAAAACACATATAATACAAGTTTTATTAATGGATAATATATTTATCACACATTTTAATACAATGTGTCAATTTCTTATCAGACAAATACAATATATTTTAAAACAACTATAATACATATATATTGCATACATAATTCACTTTTAATACATATTGCAGATTTATCATAGTATTGCTATGTATTGTTATAAATGGTAATAAATAAAAAGTATCGCTAAAATCAGTAGTTATTTATTATAAGGTATCCATCAAAGTAATTTTTCCTTAAAAGAATCTTCAATTTGGTTCAATTTAATCTCCAATTTCAACTCGTATTAAGACTCTTTATTTGCATTGATGTAACGTATGTTCCTATATTGAAGATATGAATTACTATCTACTTTATATCATCTAGGATTTATCTATCCATTTATAACTTTTTTTAAAAATTTTCTTGAGTTGAAATTGAAATTGTGGCGTATAAAACTTAAATAACAATATGTTAAAATTATTGAGATTAAGTGGGTCAAGACCCAAACCGTTTTAGCCCATTTGAGCCAAAGTAAACTTAGGCGGGTCACGACCCAACCCTATTTTTATTCACCCTATTTTAGTATCTTCAATTTCAACCCAATCCGCCATTTGACACCCCTACATGTGATCAATCAAAGACTACAAGGTAAATGAGTAACTAGTAAAGTACTGTGATTAATATTTAATATTTATATAGAGATAAAGTAGTAAATTATTATGGTTCGATTTACCCAATAACTCAATATTAAAAATCAAAACGGAACCGATAATTTTTTTTATAAAACCAATTAAAACATGTTAAACCAATAACCAAATAGCAATAAATCAACAACATTTTTTCGGTTTGATTTATTGATTGATTTGATTCGGTTTGATTTATCGATCGATTCGATTTTTACACGCCCTTAAGGCTATAATCCAAATGTGCAAAATTTTCAACAGATCTTACTAATTAATTATAAAATTTTACTTAATGGTTTATTAGCATGATTCTCTAGCAACCGGCAACATCTTTCTCTTCTAGCAACTATATTTTATGAACATTTTTTTTACAAACACTTCAAAATAAATTCTTTACATTAGTTTCTCCCTTGCTAGACTCCATATTATTTTTAAAAAAATTGTCAAAATACCTCGCCTAATTATAAACATACAGCTCGCCTCTCTCCTCTTTCTCCCAATCTCGATTTCTTCTTACCTTTTCTAACATATAACTATGAATAGTACTCTCTCCGTCCATTTTATGTGACACTTTTCGAATTTTGAGATTCAAACAAGTCTATCTTTGACCGTGAATTTTTCATATATTTTGAATTGTCAATTATTGTGATTTATAACACTTTTTACGTAGTTTATAAATATATAAATTTCATTTCAAAAAGTTTGAAGATTCCATGTGCAAATTGACAGTCAAACTAAACTGTTTGACTCTCAAAAAATGAAAAATGTCACAAGACGGACTAAATAAAAACAAATTATAGCTATTGGACATAATTATATTTTTAGTCTTAGCTATTTTTACCCAACTCTTGAAGCGCAATTGTTCTAGTGCATTCTTACAGCAACGACACACCCTTCTACCTTCTTCTCAACCCAACTCAAAGAAAACAATGGCCAGAAAGTTCTTCGTCGGCGGCAACTGGAAATGCGTATGTCTTTTTGTTTCTTTTTTCCTTCTATTAATCAACTGCAAATCATGCTTATTGACTATGTTGAGATTTCAATTCCAATATCTTATCATCTTCGTTCATTCTAGCTTCACTAATCACTCGGCCACACCAATTAGCTGGTTAAACCCTAGTGGCTATATTTATACTGATTTAACGCGATGGATGCGTAAACCTAGAACTGAAAATTATGTCTGGTGTGTTCATTTGCTTCTAATAGTAAAGGTGTTGTTTTAAATTGTTGTCATTGCAGTTGATAACATAGTTGGATACTGGAAAGTAGTGTTCTTACTTTTAGGATGAAATAGCATCAGGTTATTGTATCATGGTAGGAGAACTGCAGATGTTGGAGCTTTTGAGAAGATTTTCAAGTGTCTCTAGTCTGTATAATGTCTTTGGTTGAATGCTGATAAAACATTAGTGAAATGTTTTTATAGATTTTGTATCCAATATATAGGTAACTTATTTGACTAAGTTTGAGATCAATAAATTTTGTGTAGTATGATAAATTTCTCTAAAATTAGTGGATTTCGATCATTGAAGATAGCTTTCGGAACTCTTATATGCTTAAGGTTGTATAAAAAGTTTCAAATGAGGACTTAGTTTACTGCATTAGATCGCTGAAGGCGGCTTTCAAAACTTCTATGTGCTAAAGTTGCTTGTTGAACCAAAAATTTAACTAGCAATGCGTTTAATCTGGTAGTGTTAGGTGCCAACAAGTATGTAAAGTAAAACAACGAGGAACAGAACAACAACAACAAATAATACAATTACTGAAGCAAGAGAAAACAACAGGTAATATTAAAATCAAAGAATAGGATAGCAGGAGAGTACACTAATAAAACTGAGAAGGAAAATATGTTGGATTACCTACTAACTTTTTATCCTACTCCTCGACCCTCATATTTTTCTGTCATATCCTCACTCAGTAAGCTACAGGAGTGTCGTTTCTGTTTAATCATCTCTTCGGGACTTTTTTCGGCTTACCTATACCTCTCCTTTATATCCACTATAACCAGCCTCTCACATCTTCTGAATGGGACATCCAAGTATCTTCTCCTCACTTGCATGAACCATCTCAGCCTCACCTTCCTCATCTTGTCCACCACGGAGGCACATTCTCACTTTGGCTCAGATCCTATCTCTCCTAGGATACCCACACATCCATCTCAACATCCTCATTCCGCTATTTGCATCTCCAAGATGTGTGAGTTCTGAGATATAGGTTCTTTTGTAATATTTATCTACAATTACTTGTTAAATCCATTTATTTGACAAGGGAGGATAGCCTAGAGGAAAGGGCTCTCCACCTCCAAACATGATGATAGGCATTGGAGCCGATTGGCGAGCACAAAGGGAAAATTCACTATTAGGCTACTTGGTAAGGAATGGTTAGGGCTCACCATATCTTTGAAAAAGGAAAAAAAAAATCTATTTAGTAAAATGGTAATTTTCGTTGCAATATGTAATGGTACTACTTGGTTAAAGGTAAATCTATGGAATAATAGCAAAAATAAAAATAAAATCACAAGTAACAAAGCTGAATTAAACATGATTATCTTTATAACATTTTGTTATAGTCCACTGGAGATGTGTTAGTTAAATCTTCATATATGTCAAAACATATTTCTATATAAGTAGCTTTGACACATGCACAATCATCCAGACAGTCAATAATTCTAAAATTGTGACAATAAAGTGTATAACTTTAGTCTACCTAAAAAAAGGCTATCAGTATTTTTCAATGTTACAGGCAATAATCGAGATAGTATCAGGATTAGGTCTGCTACAAAAAGTGCATGAAGCACCTTACTAAAAAAATGTAGTGCAGTGTTACTCTTAATATCATTTTAGGACTTAATAGAATAAATTTTTGACAACCAATATATCTTCAAAAAATTACAGGTAATAATCGAGATAGTATCAGGATTAGGTCTGCTACAAAATGTGCATGAAGCACCTTACAAAAAAAATGTAGTGCAGTGTTACTCTTAATATCATTTTAGGACTTAATAGAATAAATTTTTGACAACCAATATATCTTCAAAAAATTATGTATTCACCTCAAAGGAAGAAAAGTAAGGAATTGGTGTCTGGAGAATGTCCAATGGTTACTTTAGTGGCCAAATTGGTGAAGCAATTGTCTAACTTAATAGAAAAAAGTTGAAATGAAGAAGTAGGATATGCATACAGCACTATTTCAAGTATGCTTTAATTGGTTGGATTCGAGTGACTCGATACAACACTTGAAGTTGGTGTTTGTGTTCCATGTCTATCTAATCACATCAAATTGTAGGTATTAAATTTAGTAGATCACTTGACACAGTGTATGTGTAAGTTATGAAATTCTAAATAGATATCTAGATTATTATGTACCATGTAGAACCAATGCATGCTTAGCTGAGTATGTATGAGATGGATTAGAGTTCTTGGACTTCTATATGTGTGATGCCCATGGCTTTTTCCATAGAGTATTGGTGTGTTGATTCACAGAGATGATCTATGATTAATTAATTTAAGTTGTTACTTAGCGATTGAGGATATGACCTCTTCCTTACATCTTTATTTGTGAATCTTGCTCTGTTTAAACTGAAATACGTGTGCAGAATGGAACCGTGGAGGAAGTGAAAAAAATTGTGACCACATTGAGTGAAGCGGAAGTTCCATCTGAGGATGTTGTTGGTAAGTATCTGATCCTAAGCTTCCATAAAATTTGAGAAGAAAAAAGAAGAGTTTGGTTATGGAGATATTTTTATTGCTTATGAAGTTGTAATTCTAAAATGATATTGAAGTTCTCTCCCAACTCATTTCTGCACGCATAGAATGTTCAGATCAGGTTACCCATATGATTTAACTTTGGACCAATCTACTATTTGCCTTTCTTTACGTTGGGACTTTCTCTTGTATTTCAATTTTGTCTCTCTCTATGTTTGCATTTGCTTTGGCTTTTGAAATTAATGTCTTGTCATTTTCAATGACGTGATTTATACCTATCTGAAGTATGAAAAGTGATTTTCTTTTATACCTTTTATTGGTTGTCGTAGATGGAAGTTTACCCGCTAGTCTTTCTTTTTCATTTTTGGGTTTTTCCAAGTCTTACGCTATTGCTTTATTTGGATTGCTTTTCTCACAGAGGTTGTCATTAGTCCTCCATTTGTATTTCTTCCCTTGGTCAAAACCTTATTGCGTCGTGATTTCTCCATTGCTGCACAAAACTGTTGGGTAAGGAAAGGAGGTGCGTTTACTGGCGAGGTTAGGTATGCTCATATTTGCCTTTTGATATTCTTTTGCTATATCTGATAAAGTTGCAACTTGAAATTTAAGCAAGCATGCTGAGAAGATGTCCCTGTAACCAATTGTTGAGTATACAGCTTGAGACGCCGGTGTAACTTGATCTTTCTGTTTGTAATATACCCTTTTAGTCATCTATTTTTGGTCTGTTTTCAGGTTGCTTTCTTTGTACAAAACAGTAACATCTGTTTGTTGTTATGCTCTTTGTAAAACATATACTAGAACCATTTGCTCAAAAAATAGGGCACACAGGCACACACATATCAGAAGAGTTTGATTCTTGTTTTTTTACAAGTATATCTTTCGTGGTTGATTTACGGAATGCTTTATTATTGAGTATACTCAATCTGGTCAACTATTAAGTTAATTTTATTTACTTAGTTGATAGTTATTTTAATTAATATAGCATTTTACTAATTCTATTCTCTGCGTCTATAGTGCTGAGATGCTGGTCAATTTGGGCATTCCCTGGGTCATCCTTGGTCACTCTGAGAGAAGGCTTTTATTGAATGAATCAAATGACGTAAGCTATGATATGGAAACATGTGATATTTTCCTTGCATCTTTTGAATTGATGGACATGCACTAGCTCGTATGTTCTTGCTCAGATTATAGCCTTTTTTCCTGTTTGCTGCAGTTCGTGGCTGATAAAGTTGCATATGCACTTTCGCAAGGCCTAAAAGTGATTGCCTGTGTTGGGGAGACTCTTGAGCAGCGAGAATCTGGATCTACAATGGCTGTAGTTGCAGCGCAAACAAAAGCAATTGCAGGTATGTCTTTGAATAGTCCCTGTGAAATGTCAACTAAAAAGCTTTTACCTATGTAATATCCAAGAAATGTTGCTTGTTGGGAATTGGATGCCATAGCCACCCTGATCTGAGTCTTGCCCGTACCACTTTACTGTGTGAATGAGACTCATATATAAGTATGATTTGGACTTCAGATGCATAATACTTGGTGGATCTATGTGTGAACATTATTGCTGTAGCATTAGAAATAACTATGTAATGAGTCTGTGATTGGAGCATTGTTGTAGTGTTGTACTCAACCTACAGACCACTCACTGCATGCTGCTTCTGTGGCAACATCGTTAAGCCGTGCTTCAGTGCAAAGTCTGCTGTTATTTTATCAGGTTTTGTCCCAAAGCTAGCAACCAGAAACTTCTCACCTACCTCTAAGCTGGATATAGATATAGGCACAACAAGTCAAATGAAAGCCTTTGAAAGTGTCTGGAAAGATTGATTAGGCAACCTTTAATGATGCTTTTGCAAATGCTACCTGTAATTCTTTTGATCAAGTACAATCCTGATCAAGAGCCTCTGCAGCTCCATACATTGACATTTGATTGCTAATCAAAATGTGAAGAGCTGACAAAATGAAAAATAAAAAAGATCTACACTATCTACATTGTTCTGCTTATTCCAGCAAAATAAATTTAACCAAACACTTAGCCTTGAGTGAAAGACGGAGAAGTTGAAACTGGGTGGAAGAGTCATACTCATCAACTCTGTGTTATATGTCCTCCCCTCTTACATGATGTCCTTATTTCCAATCTCAACAAGTGTTATTAAAAGACTAGACAACATTAGAAGATCATTCTTGTGGCAGGGAAATAAGGAGAAGAAAGGAATCTATTTGGTGAAGTGGAAGGCCTTAACAGTGAGTAATAAGAAGGGGGGACTGGGACTCAAAGACCTGAAGTTCCAGAACAAGGCTTTAAAAATAAAATGGCTTTGGAGATGCACACAAGAAGACCAAATGCTATGGGTAAGGGCTATCAAAGCAAAGTATGAGGAAGATGACTGATGGAAGACAAAGGAGATCAACACTCCATATGGGGTTAATTTATGGAGATCTATCAGGGTCTTATGGCCTTCACTGGAAAATAGAAGCTCCATTAAAGTTGTAAATGGTAGTGAAACTATTTTCTGGAAGGATAAATGGCTAGGGATTAAGAGTTTACAAGAGAAATTCCCTGACATCTACAATCTTGTACTTCATCAACATAATACAATGGCAGAACAGTGGTCAAATTAAGGTTAGGATATTTTTGAGAATTGGTAACATTGTATTCTTCAGCATTAAGGATATGCGGGGGACCTTTAGAAAATCAGAAAAGATCAAAAGGCATAATACTTACAAGGATCCTAAGAATTCTAAAAGTTGATCTGAATCCTCTAATCCTATCTCTTTACACCAAAAATATAGAGATACAATGCAATTCCATTTAACCTTGTGAATGGAATTGGATATATCTTCAAAATTCCTACTATTCCTCTCCTTCCACACTGTCCACCAAATGCAATGTGGAATTAAATTCCACCAGGTCTTCCGTCTCTTGTTACCTCCTCTCCTGATCCAACAACTAAGTAAATTAGTTGTATGTTCTGGTATAGTCCATTTCACTTCTGAAAAGTTGAGAAACATGGACTTGTGAAAATACAATGTAAGAATAGGTGACTATTAGTTTCCCCTGTCTTCCCACATAAAGAGCACCAAGGAAATATGATCTTTCTATCCCTCCTCAAGACTTCCTGTGTCAAGCATGCCTTTCTAATGACCAACCAAGTAAAGCACTTAACTTTTGTTGGTGCTTCATTCCTGCAGATATTTTTCCATGAATTTCGGTATCTGCTACTTTGCGAGTTGCACTCCTTTTTATATGCCCTGCCAAATGTGAAGATCCCATCCTTACTGTGAGACCATCTTACATCATCATTGGTAGTATTGGTGCCTGCAAAATCCCCCACTTGCTCCAATAATTTGGCTACTCTCTCTATTTCCCAATCATTTAGTAGTCTTCTGAAATAGAGATTCCAACTTTGTTCTGTCTAGCAATCACTGATCATTGCCTCAGAATTGGTGCACAAAATAAATAGACCAGGAAACAGGTTTTTTAGGGGGGTTTGTTTGATCCATAGATCCCACCAGAATCTAGTTCTCCTTCATTCCCCACCTTGATATGTAAATTTGCTTCTAATTTAGGCCATAAGTTTCTAATAGCTCTCCAAACCCCTGCTCCATAAACATCCGTGCTTACGTTACTACACCATAATCCATCCTCTCCATATTTAAATTTAATCAAATCTTTCCACAAAGCTTGCCTCTCCTCAGTGTATCTCCACAGCCATTTCATCAAAAGACTGTTGTTATGCTTCCTCAAATCTCTGAAGCCCAAGCCACCTTTATCTTTTCTATGCAAACCCACTTGACCAAATTGTATCCTTTGTTCTCTTTGTAGCCATGCCAAAGGAAATCTCTCCTAAGTTTGTCCAATTTCTTAGCCACTTTTGCCGATATAGTGAAAAGAGACATAATATATATTGAGAGAGAATCTAGAACATAGTTGATAACGATGTGTCTACCACCAAAAGAAATGTAGTGAGCCTTCCATCTGGCTAGTCTTTTTTCAGTCTTCTCCACTATGTTGTCTCATATCTCCAAATCTGTGTTTATTACCTAAAGGCATACCCAAATAAGTTGTGGGCAATTTATCCACTCTGCAGCCCAAAATGTCAACTAGCCTTTGGATGTTTGTCACATCCTTGATAGGATATAAACTGCTCTTTCCCCAGTTAACTTCCAAACCTGTACAAGCTTAAAAAAACAACAAAATTAGTTTGATTAATCTAAATTGCTCCTCCTGTGGCTCACAGAAAATCACTGTGTCATCTGCATAGAGTAGATGGCAAATCTCTTTAATATCACCATTGTTTCCACTAATTTGGAAACCTCTGTTCCACCTGTTTTGAGTAGCAATCCTTATCAAACTATCAAATTTCTCCATTACCAGGGTAAATAAAAAGGGTGAAAGAGGATCACCCTGTCTGATTCCTCTTCCTGAAGAGAAAAAACCCACCGGTTGTCCATTTACAAGAATGGAGAATCTCACAGTGCTTATGCAAAATTTTATTCATCCCACCCATCTTTCTCCAAAACCCATTTGTCTCAAGGTGTTTAGTAGGAGACCCCAATTTACATGATCGTATGCTTTTTCAATGTCCACATTACTCTAGAAATGTTTCCTTTCAACCTGGAGTCAACACACTCACTTGCAATGAGAACTGTATCCATTATTTGTCTTCCTTTAATAAAGGCCATTTGGTTTTTGTTGACAAGCTTATCAATCACTCAAGGTTAGGATATTACCTTAAGAAGAATATCTAATGACTAGGAGGTGCTTAGAACTTTTGGAGGTCTACAGGAAGGGGTTGACAGATTTTGGTGGAATGGACACAGTAGTGGTGCTTACAAAGTGAATGCAGCTTACAAACATATGAACCAAACCAATCATCAAATGGTAGAATGGCCTTGGAAGCACATTTTGAAGACTAAGATACCATATAAGGTTTCATGTTATGTCTGGCTTTTGGCAAGAGAAGCAGTTCTTACTTAAGATGACTTGATGAAAAGAGGGACTACTATCTGCCTTAGATGCTGCCTATGTGGGGAAACTTCAGAGATGGTGAATCATCTTTACCATTGCAAGATAACAGGGTCAACTATGCAGGATGCTCCTTGCACTCAGAATTATCACATGGATAAATCCGGGAAAGATCTCTGAAACTCTAGCAAGTTGGGAAGAAGCTTGTTTGGAGGTTTGGAGGTCAGAGTCAGAGGAAAATGGAGAATGGTTCCAGCTTGTATATGGTTGGACAATATGGAAATAGAGGAATTCCAGATGTTTTGAAAATAGGAGCAATTCTATCCAACAGATCAAGATGAATTGCATTTTGCTCTTTTGTTTTTGGTGTAGACAGTCTCACTCGGCAGAAACTATTGAAATTCTAGATGTATTACACTCCCTCTTGAAGACTAGAATAGCTCCAGTTTCTTAGGGTCTTTTGACGTAAATATGGTGCAAGTACACCAATGTACTGTTCTATCATCATTTATAGAAATATACAAAAAAATTGAAAAAAATGAATGATGATGATGACCATCTTTTCTGCAGAACAAGTCATGCACTGGTCCAATGTTGTTTTGGCTTATGAACCAGTATGGGCCATTGGAACAGGAAAGGTTGCTACTCCAGCTCAAGCTCAAGAAGTACGTTGAACATCTCTTAGCTTCTTAGCTGTTCAATTACTGATGATGTATGCTTTTATGTATTTGTAATTGTGGTTAAAGTAAAGATGACGTGTTTAGGGGAACTTCTCCACAGTTACAGTATAATCAGCAAATATGTCTTCATATTTTCAACTTTCAAAGGCAGAAAGTACTTCTTTAGATTGGACCTTTATTTTCCTCATGTCATGCTCCTTGGACTATATTGGAAGCTGCAGACATGTATTTTGCTGGATATCTCATAGTTGTTGCATGTCAGGCCTCTGCCTGCCCCCGTCCTGCCTACATCATGTAGTAGATCAGGGCCAACTAGAGCCAATCTCGAGGTTCATGTCTGGGGGACTTATTTCTCAGTATGTATTTTCAAGAAAACTTGGTCACCTATGTGACAGACGCACAACACATGATGTTTGCCTAAAAGAAAAGTTGCTTCCCTTTTTTTCCATAGGTTTAGTATTCTATGTTAGAAACTTTTTTTTTGACAAAGGTATTCTATGTTAGAAACTTTGATGGGTTCTTAAGTTAATTTGGTCTGTAATTCTATCGGAACATGTTTAACCACAGAAATTTTCATGTCTCTACCAGGTTCATTTTAAGTTAAGGAAATGGCTTCATGTGAATGTTGGTGCAGAAGTTGCGGCTTCAACTAGAATCATCTATGGTGGTACGTAGAATCATACCTGTTGCCTCATTATAAATGCAGAATGTGAAGTAGGACCACTATTTCTCTGTTTTTTGTCCTGATAATTTTAGAAGTAAAATACGTTTGCTTGTAATAACAGTTCGGCATTTACGCTAGAAAATGTCAGAACGGAGGTAGTTGTATTTGTGCTCACCTTTTCTAACTGGATTTAGTCAAAGTTGAATTACCATGGGGAAACTATTTGTGTCTATTTTTGGGAACTTTATCACCTTTGGATGTGAATCGTCGCTGTTTAGCTCCTGAATAATCAGAAATCTATAATTTTCTAGTTCAGTTGAAATAATGAATAAATTTGTGGAACGGACATCAATTTGCAAATAATTTATGTCCTGACACTTAACTAAAACAAATTTCAGGCTCTGTGAATGGAGCTAACTGCAAAGAGTTGGCAGCACAACCTGATGTAGATGGTTTTTTGGTTGGTGGTGCTTCACTAAAGGTTTGTTTCAGCATTTATGTGTCATTGATTTTGGTGTAGACTTGTGTAGTATCTGACCTTTAAATCTCTGTTACATCACAGCCTGAATTTATTGATATCATCAAGTCCGCGACTGTGAAAACAACTGCTAAGTCGGAGTAAGTGTTGCTACAAGGAGCCTTCTTTTCTCAGAATCCCTTGTATGTTTATTGTAAATCAGCTTCAATAATACATGTTAGGCACAAGGATTTTATTTAAAATAAAGAAGGTGATCTTTGCAAACAGGCCTACATTAACAATCTTTGTTTATTCATCCAACTATTTTATTTTAGCTTACTGGAAAGGATTTCCAAGGATCCTAAATCATTCTTTGGAGAAATCATTGTCACTGAAAAAGCAGTACTATTCTAAGAGTGAATGTATGTCCCAATCATGAGTTATGACCTAGCATGTCTTCCTTCTCCTTTTTAACCGAAAAGTCCCCGAAGACAAGACTTGAAAGTCGATGAATGGTGGGTCTGCCCCTCTACCTTTTCTCCACTTCAACGTTAGAAGTTTAGCCCATCACATGATTTGACTCATGAAGCGCACTTAACTCTCATTATGTGTTGCACTCTTATCACTGAATTAATTAAAGAAGCGGTGGCCTCTTATATGTGACTTAGCATATGGTCTAGTGATGTAACTTGCTGGTTGTTTTCTATAAGCTCAAAAACCAAATAGGGAAAATGAGGCACAATCATATCACTTTTTTTTTTTTACTTTGATTTTCCACGACGGAAGAAAATGTTATTATTATCTTATTTACTGTGATTGTGATAAACTATATCACTTTTTTTTTCATAAACACAAATAAAATAATTAAACTTTGTGCTCTATGTCAGTGTTGCTTGACTTTTTATTCAAATGGAAAATGGAATGGAGCTTAATAATTCACTTAGAGTGCCTTATAAAAGATTATACAGTACAATCAGGTTGAATAAAACAGTTTGGTTTTGATATTTTTATTAACTCAATAAATAAATAAGATGTATTTGCAGACAAAGTATTTATTACTTAATTATAATTAATTAATATACCTTTTTCACTTGTTAATATGATTTGATATAAATATCAGATTACGAATAAGTATTTTAGTGAAGCAATTGAGGAAGTCAGTCAAGTGAAGATGTGCAGGTCGTTGGTGCGTCCATTCTAGCCCTATTCAGAAACCATGCCTTGTCGTCATCATTTACTGATGTGAAACTATGAGAGAGCTAGTAGCCTGCATACAGGTTTGGTTGAATTCAATCGATTTTGTTTAAATAGTATTTTTGTCTTAATAAATTTATTAAATATGTACAAATGTTAAATTTAGAATTCATTTATCATCACTTAAAATCGTCATTATAAAATTTAAAACTTATAAAATTGAAATTCTAGCAAAGCAGACCCATTAGCTCCTTATAGAAAGAAATAACCTCCTTCCTTGAGCCGGTGAATTGTTTACTCCTAATGTTATTGATGTTTGATTAAACACAGAGATTAAGAAAATATTAAAAAGAGATTTATTTTTATTTTTTAAAAAAGATGCTTTAAAAGTTTATTTGGCAATAAATTATTTATTAAGAGTAGATTAAAAAAATCAAAACTAAATTATTTCTAAATATAACAAATTGTCATTCTCTTTTGTATAGACTAAAAAAAATAATAGCACTTAAATTGAAACAAAGAAAATATATAATATTCATATTAGGTTTTTAGTCTAAATAAAATTATGTATAACTTACATAAATCTTATAGTGTAAGGACCTAAATTACATTCTATTCCTACTCTTTTTCAATTTACGAAAATCCCTTAAAATCAATGTTATTCGGATACATAGCAAACAAGTCGGATTACATTAAATCCTATACATTAAAACAAATTCAGTTACACTTTTAAAGGAAAGAGAATATAAAAACTGATTGTGAGTTCCCCAAATCACGCTAATCTAATTGATTTCAATCTCTCCCAAATCTTAACAGATTCAATCAAATCAAAATTTAAATTTTCTTCTCCCAATTCTCTTCCAAATCCGCCCACCTTCAATTCAAATTTTCTTCTCTCAATTCTATTCCAAATTCGTCTGGCTTCAAACAATTCAAATTCTCTTCTTTCAATTCTTACCCAAATCGTAATAGATTAAAAAAGTCGAAAACAATAGCCGATACATGATGAATACATTCAAGAATCTAGAAAACCAAGGTGAGTTATGAACGATACATAAGTGATGGATTTCAAATTTCTTCTCCCAATTCGTCGAAGATCCTTTCAATTTTGATTCAAAATTATCAAAAAAATTGAGAAGATACATCAGGAATATTTTGATTTTGCTGAGACAGTGAATAATCTGGAAAAAAAGATCTGACATTCAAGAATTTGAAAAAAAAATATGAGCCTCGATTTGCAATGTATAAAATAGATCAGAGCTTTAATTTCATAGTAAAATAGATCTAACTATCAGAGGTATGAAATTACATATATTGTGTTGTTAATTCGATTTTTTATTTGTGTTTTCGAGATGACTATACAATTGTGATACATTCGTATTTATGTTTCTTGTATAATCTGATAAGAACTATACTCCTATTAATTAGATACATTAAATAAGTAAAAGCATTTAAGTGTTTGCTTAGAGATCGACAGGTTACTGTGTGATACATGTGGTAATAATTTAAATTATTGTATCATGACCAAATGTTTAGCATGATACATTACTATTTTTGTATCTTGTTGTGTTTGTGAAATACTATAATTTATAGATGATACATTATACATGTAATTTGTTGTAAAAGTATCAAAATGTTCAAGAATGATGGTATCAGATTATAGTTATATTTTGCACCTGATATTAAGTATAAGTTTAGTTGTTTGATTGTTTGTGATTGATACATAGAAATAATTATTTTATGGAATGTATCACTAATTTCTTTAATATTAACAGGTTGTTGCATCATCTGAGTATCTTTATTCAGTCTATGATTTTGGAACAAGATACATTGTTTGCCTTGAAAGATAAATATGCAATTGTGAAAGATTTCAAGTTGATAAGATACATTTTTTTATATAATGTATATTTTGTAGTTGATAATAATGTATCTGATACAATAGGTTGTGAAAGAAGGGTGTATGTAAGCTGAAATAAAGTGTATCTATAAATATATCATTTTGTAGTTGATAATGTATTTGATACAATAAGATTACCAATTTTTATGTATTTATGTATCAAGATACGTAATTTGATACATAGTGTTTTATCAAAATAAACGAGATACATTGAAAATTAAATAGCAGATGCGTAGAAAAAAAAACAATTGTAGCAGTGATGTATCGAATCAGTAATAACACTAACAAAGACTAATTTAAGAATAAAAATAAAGGAGATACATTGTGTCTTTGACAGTGATCATCGTGTAATGACAACTCCAACTTTTTCCTTCTCTTTTTTGAACGTTTTTTTCAATGGTACATTTAGAACTCAGACATGTATAAACATTGCAAATCAAATATGACTTTCTAGTTTTTGATCTATAACATTAGATTTCTAACAATATGTAAGAAATAATTAAAATATTATTAAAAAATAAAATAATCAAATACGGAAATAAAATAAAATAAAAATTCCTAATATAATTAAATAGCAAATTTTTTTTCCATAAATATAGTAATTTGTGATTGATAAGGTATATCAATCAATTAATTTTCTTTCTATTAGTTGATTTTTATTTTTGTTGTTATCCTTCTTCCTATTACTTTCTTCCACGTTATTCTCAATCAGTTGGTAAATTTTTTTAAAATTTCATCACCAATTTTTTTTCGTAATTTAGGTTAACATCTAATTTTTTTCTGATTCAATCAGTATATTATTTATTTATTTTTTGCTTTTTTTTTTAAAGTTTTTTGCTTTGATCTTGTTTTTTATTTTCTTAATCTGAAATTTGAGTTTTTAGAAATAAGAATTCTGATTTTTGAAAATTTAATTTCGTTTTTACTTTTTTTTTATTATGATTTGGAACTTTATTTTTGAGAAATAAAAAATTATTTTTCTAAAATTTTGATTTCATTTTTGGTGTGCTATAAGGAGTGATTTGTGGAGTGAAATAAGGAAGGGATAAACATTAGTTTTGGGAGTTAGAATTTATGTATCAAACGTTTGAAATTTGGGAGTAAAATAAGGGATTTTGGAAAATTTTAAAACTGGTAGAGAATAATGGAAATTATGAAAATACAAGGTGTGCGTATAGGTAATTTAGCCTAAAATTATTCCATCTCGGACTTTATTTTCATTCTTTAAGATTAGTTGACACATTGTAATTGTCAAATATTTTCCAAAGTCAACGCATCTCTTTTTTTTTTTTTTAATTTCACCTTCTTTAAGCGAGAATCTATCAAAAATTGCTTATTTAGCCCACAAAGACAAGGATAAGATTTTTTGTACATTTTATTTTCTTTTAATCTCTCTTTATATGAAATTACACCAAATATTATAGTGATGAATTTTTTTCTTTTACTTCTTTTTTAATTCAAAATTGACTTTCTTTTATTTTTATTACGAAAATGAAAGTCATTTCGTTTTATAGAAGTCTTCTATCGATTTATATGGCTATCACCTATTCTGCTCATGTAATAATGGTAGACATAAAAGTTAGGCAGAATTACTACATGATTGTAGGAATGGCAATGAGGCGGTACCAGGTTGGGACACGGGTTGAGCTTGATCTTTAAAAAATTTAATTCGCTCTGTCCTGCATAACAACTTTTAGTAATTCTGTGAAGTGGAGCGGGTTAAAAGTTAGACCCGTCTGCATGAATCCATCCTACATAAAAAAAAATAGTATTTTTTTTTCTAGTTAAGTTTGATACTAAAAATAAAATTTATAAAAATAAATTCATTATTTTTATTAAGTTATATTAATTTAATAAATAATGACTTAAAAAATTATTTTTAGAGGTATGGAAACATGTAAGAAATTGTATTATCTTTTATTAAATCATTTTCATTTACTGTCTTCAATATTTTAGTAGCTTTAAAAAAATCATATTAATAAATAATGTTTTATCACTCTTATAACATGTAAAAAGTTTAAAATTAAGTTTGAACCCGCTTAAGATCACATATACCGACAACCCACTCCGCATTAATTTTCAAAAAAATCCACTTCAATCCGCCCCGCATTTCACCCACCCCGCACAACCTTAAACCCGCCCCACCCCACATAGCCTTAAACCCATCCCCTCCGCATCCGCCCCACCCACTG